CACGAGACTCAAGAGTCCTGCCCATCGCCACTGTGGGACTCAGAGTCCCTCCCACTGCCACCGTGGGACCCATCAATGCACCTCCTGGTGACTGGGCGTTTGGGCGTTACGGTGTTATGGCCACTGGCCTTTTATAATATAGATGGTGCTACCTCTGTGGCTGGCACAGAGAAAGAAGTTTATTCCAACTATGAATTTTAAAAATTAGTCACAAAGCCATCAGAGAATAGGGCCTTCAGGAAAGTTATTTTATGCCTCACTTTTTTCTGTACCTTTTTTATTCAGTTTTCATGTGACTCAATGTTTGAAAGTGGGCTCTAAGTGAAAAAGAAGAATAACAGTCATTTAACAGCCTTTAAGGAAGGAAGGAAGGAAGGAAGGAAGGAAGGAAGGAAGGAAGGAAGGAAGGATAATATTAACCTACTTTCAACAATAAAGATTAAAAAAAAATAAAGAAAAACTATTAGCTTTACTAAGAGGCTTACTAAGTACTATGTATGTGCCAAAGTTATAAATTACTATGTACCATCCTGTCAAATATTTTTGTCAAATATTTTAGATTCCTGGGTAGATAGTTATAATTTGTTTTTGTGGCAGTTATAAAAATATCAATTAAAATTCAGTTGGCTAGAGAGAAACCAAGATGGCAGCATAGGTAAATGCCTAACTGCAGCCTCACACAACGATTTCAAAAAATACAACTAAAATATAAAGTGGACATTATCCAGAATTACAGGAAAGTTAACTGACTGGAAATTCTACAACTAGAAAGAAAGAGAAAACCAGAAGGAAAATCAGAGGAGCTGTAAAAGCCTAAGGTACAGAGACACAGTGCGCACATGGGGAGAGGACAGAGCCAGAGAGGAGGGGCGTCTGAGTGCCTGGCTGGTGTTCCCTAGTGGGAAGGAGACAAAAGATCCGGACTGTGCTGAGCCCCAGTTCCAACTGTCCTGAACCCCAGTTCTAGGCCAGACCCTGGGGACACAGGCTCATATGGAGGAATCTAGGCTATAAGGCAGAAACTCAGGGGAGTGGCGAAAGGCAGAGCCCCAGAGGCGCACACGTTGCGCGCAGAGAATGGACTGTTGACTGTGCCACTGGATTGCCCTAGCGGGAAGGAGCCATAAGGTCTGGACTGCTCTTAACCCCACTTCCAACTGCACTGAACCCCAGTTCCGGGCTTATTGGGGGAGAGACTAGACTGTTGGTAGCGGGCGAAACTTGAGGGCACCTTTCTCTCAGAGGTGCTTGCAGCAAGTATTGAAGGTCACTGAGGAACACTGAGACTCAGGAACCTCATAGGGCAGGGCTGACGGAAATCCAAGGCTGTAGGCTCCACCCTGAAACTCTGCCCCATCGAAGCTGAGCACAAAGGCTTTTGCAATTTTCCAAGTCTAGTCAAATAAGGCTGTCTCCCAGCATAGACACAGCTGATCCTCACACCCAATTGGCCTGGAGGTCAGTTCCTCCCAGGGATACCAAAAACAATAAAGACTTAACTACAAAAGGCTGTACACACAGTCCACAAAGGGGTGCACCAAGAGTGTTCACATCAGATAACTGGGAGGCTGACCCACTGAACCATATAGGACACCTTAGCACACAAAGCCACCCTACCAACTCAGGGAAGCAGCGAAAATGCCGAGACAAGGAAATAGATCACAAACGAAAGAAATGGAGGACAACAAGCGACTGGATATAGAGTTCAAAACCACGCTTATAAGGTTTTTCAAGAACTTCCTAGAAAAGGTTGATAAAATAAATGAGACCTATGAGGATATGAAAAGGGATGAACTAGAAATAAAGAATACATTGTCTGAAATAAATATATATATATATATATATATATATATATATATATATATATATATAAAATACAGAGTCCTAAAAACAGAATGGAAGATCGCAAGAATCAAGTCAAAGATTTGGAACACAAAGAGCCATAGGACACCTCCGCAGAAGCAAGGAGACAAGAGAATCCAGAAAGTTGAAGATAGTGTAAGAAACCTCTGGGACAACTTCAAGCGAACCAACATCAGAATTATGGGGGTCCCAGAAGATGACAGAGAGCAAGATACAGAAAGAATATTGAAAGAAATAGTGACAGAAAACTTCCCCCACCTGGTGAAAGAAATATACTTACAAGTCCAGGAAGTGCATAGAACCCCAAACAAAAGGAATCCAAGGAGGACCACACCAAGACACATCAAAATTAAAATTCCAAGAGCAAAAGACAAAGAGAAAATATTAAAAGCAGCAAGAGCAAAGCAGGTAGTTACCTATAAAGGAGCACTCATACGATTGTCAGCTGATTTCTCAACAGAAACCATGCAGGCCAGACAGGAATGGCAAGAAATATTCAAGGTGATGAATAATGAGAACCTACAGCCAAAAATACTCTACCCAGCAAAGCTATCACTCAGAATCGAAGGCCAGATAAAGAGCTTCACAAATAAAAAAAAAGCTAAAGGAGTTCATCACAGCCAAACCAGAATTATATGAATTGCTGAAGGGGGTTCTTTAGGAAGAGGAAGAAAATAAAGATAAAAATTATGAACAACTACGTAACTATCAACAAGTGAATCTATAATAAAAACCAAGGGAATTAAAAAACCTGATGAACAACATTAACTGTTGAATGTAATAGAATCAGAGGTATGGAAGGGGAGTGGACTGACGATTCTAGGGGGAAAGGGGAGTGGGACTGCAGGAAGAGACAAAAACTGTGCACCTGTGGATGAGGACAATGGGGGTGGGGAAAGGACAGAGGGTAGGGTGGGAACCTGGTGGAGGGGAGCAATGGAGGGGGGGAAAAAATGAGGAACATTTGTAATAATATGAACAATAAAGATTTAAATAAATAAATAAATAAGTAAATAAAATAAAATTCAGTTGGCTTCAAAACTGAACTGAATTAACCTAACTGTTGGGGAATCATAGGATTTCTTTTTATTTCAATGTGACTGTTTATGGTGCATCTATCTATTTATCACTTATCTACCCTGTTTCCCCAAAAATAAGACATCCTTCAAAAATAAGACCTACTTACAGGTTTCCTTCTGAGTGAAATATAAGGCATCCCCCCGAAAATAAGGCCCCCCTAGGCTCTGTCTCAAAATGCTATTTCTAAACATGAGAGATTTGGTCCACTGATTCTGAAAGAAATGGAGTCACAAGAAATTCACCAGGAAATTCAGGAATTGGATTGTTATGATGATGTTCCAGAAGATGATGACATGATTGTCATTGAATAAATGAGTAAATTCTTGATACTGTAGGATTCACAGTTTGTCTGGTTTGTGTTGACAACTACCGTACTACCGTACTGTATACAGGTAATAAATTTCCTTTATTTTCACTTAACAATACATGTGTACGGTACTCTTCTTCATGGAAAAATAAGACATCCCCTGAAAATAAGACCTAGCGCATCTTTGGGAGCAAAAATTAATATAAGACACTGTCTTATTTTCGGGGAAACAGGGTAGCTATCTCTATCAATTTAAGCACTGTAAAGAGCTCTGTACCTAACTGGCCAAATTCAATCTCAGTTCTGCCTCTTAAATCTATGTAATTTACACAAGTGTGATTGTTCTCCTATGCCTCCATCTCCTCGTCTGTAAAATGAGGAGAATGAAAATATGTACCTAATAATATTATTGTGAGTTTAACCAGAGGGGCTTTAAAAATGCTGATCTTCAGGCCTCCCCCCAACCAATTAAATTAGTATCTTAGGAGGTGAGACCAGCTTCACAAAGCCCCACTTTCTTGCTTAGAGACTCATACTTGAGAAACAAGAGTGAACTGAAAATGTGACTGGAAAATAAGAAATCTGCTTTTCAAAGGAGAGAGTAGCTCTCATGCTTGAAGACAGTAAACTTGCCAACCTTATTAAAAAAAATGAAAACAGAAATTCATCAGATGGTTAGGGTCAAACCAAACTCCCTCCCCACTTGGTAGTAAATATGCCACCTACTCCCTAAAACTCTTGTGCCTGGTGGAGAGGGTTAAAGGGCAGAGAGAAGAATTTTGAGGGAGGCCCATGTGGCAATCACTTTGCTATTACAGCTGCCTGATTGTGCCCCTTTACCTTTAATATATGCAACAGACGTCCCCCCCAAAAATATTTGGTAGTATCAATGAATTTCAGTGCCACAATACTCAGACTTTCCATTTTACTTCAAGCAGATAAGAACAAGACTCCCTTCTACAGAACAGAATGTGTGGTTGCTCTCGTTTTATGTGCAAGAAGGTTCTAGCTACACCTCTAGGTTTAAGGGTCAGATACCCACATATTCAAGTCTTTTGACTGAGATGACAGGTTAACTATTTTTGCCTCCTCATTTTCTCTCGTAGAGCCAGTAGAGTAAATGTGGTAAGAGCAGAGTAAAAGGAACGAATTAGAACATCCATGGATATGAGGACCAGTCTATATTCCTGGAGAAATAAGGAAGAAATGACCGTATCCTGTGTTCCCACCCTGCAGTCATACAGCCTACCATTGAATTTCCTCTTCCTACAGCCAGTCTCCATCCTTCCTCCTCACACCCACCCAAAGAAAGCTGTCTATGGGGTCTCTATTCACTGCGTTTGGATCATTACCATTAGAGGTAAGATGACTGAACAATGAGTGCGCAGAACCAGCCCCAGGGGGAGGAGGACCTACCGTAAACATCAGATGACATAAGGCCACGAAATGAAGTCTTCCTATGTCTTACGAATAGCCTATTTTCTACTCTATTGAGTCAACTGACAATTTTTCCTACCAATGATTTTGTCTAATCATGTTGAAGCCAATGACTGGCATGTAATTAGACTTGCTAAACACACGAAGGCAGGTACCCTTAGAATTCATAGAGACTTCGTTGTGGTCGCCTGCTCCTTTTGGGATCAGTCATTCAGTTGGTTCTGTTGCTGTATTTAGCAAAACCAGGAATCCTGGAAGTGTGTGCAATGCAGCGTGAGCACTGGGTGTCAGGGGAGGGAGGGAGGGAACTGACCTGAGAACAGCTTGTCTCCACCCTGTGCATCCCGTGGGAAAAGTCGTCAGTGAGTGTGATGGCCTCAGAACTGATCACGTCGTGGAATGAAGGCCAACCTGGGGCAGAGCCGGCACAAGACCCAAACCGAAGAAAGGAGAGAAACAAAGTTTTGGATCAGAATACAAGATCATGCTTACCTTTTTTTCAACTTGAAAAGAAAAACAAGTTAATAATTAACAGCTAATATTTTTTTGCAAGAGTGCAACTCTTTTTTAAGAATAACCATTCCCTCACACTCAGATTACAGTGGCATTGGGATTTTCTGTTTCACGAGACATTCTTAGACCATCTAGTAGTTTTCTAGAGCATCCCTAGATTCATAAAGCTCTCTCTCACCACTTTCCCTTCTCTCTTTTATGTTCAGGGTCACTGGGCATGGCCCTGAAGCACTATGACCCTAACCATGTGCCATTTTCCAACATACAATCCAATGGGTCTGGATGTTGACTTTTCAACTATCCGCACTTCCTTAGAAAATATGCTTTTTCATCACTTAGTTTGGATGATTAAAATACAAAAAATACTTAATTTTCTGGGGTGGGGATTCCTGGAAAGCTCTGCTCCTAGGATGCTTGCTCATTGCTCATTGCTCATTTCATAGGAGAAAGTCATAGAGCAGTGTTCTTCAGCATTTCTGTGTAGCACCTTCTCTCAAATAGCATCTTGTTCCAATTTCCATTTATTCTAATGACTTTTCAAATATGCACACAGCGTTAAGAAACTCAATGGTAAATGGACCATAAGATTGTACAAATGTTTATGAGTGTAAAGTCAGGTTTTATGTTCAGTACTTATGGACCATAAGAATATACAAATGTTTATGAGTGTAAAGTCAGGTTTTATGTTCAGTACTTATGGGCATGTTTTTACATGTTTCCAGAAAATATGTCGGGAGTTACTAAGCTGTAGCCTGCATCCCCAAAATGATGAAAGAGGTGCAATATTGCTGAATTGCTGGTGTAATTTTTTTTTTCTTTTTCAGAAGCCAAATTTATTCCTGCAGAAAGGAGGAAACCTTTTAAAAACTTATTGAAAGAAAACAGAATGCAAACTTCAACAATACTATTTCCAGTTTCAAACAAAACAAATTAGCTCAGGCCAAAATGTTTTGAGAAACTCCCTCCCAAGCTCTCTACCCACCACAACACAACAATATAGCTTTCATAGTCAGTGCTAGATTCAACCCCAAGACTGTGAACACTTTCCAGTTCCTTGATTTGAGTTCAAGATTGCTGCAAATCGCCAGGAAAACCCTACCCTTCTAGTTATAACTTTCCCCCAAAATTAATTATGCTAAGACACACCAGCATCCTCTAGAAAACTCAATTTTCCCTATTGTCTAAATTCTGAGGAGAATCTGAACATATTCTAGGTGACAGTATTTGGTTTATAATGATTACTTAACACATTTAGCTGTTCTCTGTTCAGTGACAGAAGTGCCAATAGCTAGTAAAGAGGAGTTTAATGGTGATGTCTGAGGACATTGAAAAAAATTTATTTATGAAAAGAAAGAGCACACTCTGTATTTTGTAACCTCCCATGTCATAATTCATTTGATTGCAGTCTATGACAACTAATATTATGAGGGGACATAACTGATTCAATAGAAAACAGGTAAAGAATTAGGAGTGCTTGTTTTGTTTTCAGTTTACCAGAAAGCTGCCTCAACACCATGCCCCCCCAATACATTTTTCTATTTCTAGAACTAAAAATAGGTACAAAGAAATATATATATTTCCCTCTCATGCTACTCTGCATCATATATAACTCATCTTGTTCTGCTCATCTCACTGGATTTGTGATGTGTTTGCCTGTCCTCCTCCCTGACTCGGTGGTGAGCACTCTGAAGGCAGAGTCTGGCTCATCAACAGCTGAAATGTTTATTAACTTCATTTCCAATGAGCCTAAAACAAAAAATGGGATGAATAATTATGCTACCTCACAGAGATTCACAGGATAGAGAGAATATAATCATACTCTTTTATTGACCAACTAGATTAAGAAATACCAATGCCAGTTTCTCACTGGAGTATGCAAGTTGGCTCAATCATTATAATGAAGCCTCTCTATGTAGGTGAAATAGGCTTATTATTTACTTAGAATGGTAAAAACAGGAAGATCATTTAGGTCACCCAGCTACAGCATTTGGTTGCGGGGGGAGGAAGGGGAAGGAAAACAGAAGGATAAGTTACTTGCCAATGTTACACAGCAGTAATGCCAGAGACAAAAGAATATGGGTATTCTGAGTTCAGTGTAGGGCTTTCTCCTTAGGTTCCACTTTATTCCTCAGCTCAAGGCTGAGCTCATTAATTTGAACACTCTAGCAGGAAGGAGGTGGCAATTTTTAAGAAATATTTTTAAGGCTGTGTCTGGATTAGTTAGTAAATTACACTGTTATACTTAGAAGCTTCAAGGTAGATGCAGATAATGAATGCACCCAAAACAAAACTGATTTTTTCATCTCCTAATGACCAAACTGTTCAAAGGGTAAGTCCAGTGGTCAGCGAACTCATTAGTCACCAGAGCCAAATACCAACAGTACAGCGACTGAAATTTCTTTTGAGAGCCAAAAACCGACTTCTGCGCATGGGCCACAAAGTTTCAATCACACTGTACGTGCGCACCCGCACGTGGTATTTTGTGAAAGAACCACACTCAAGGGGCCAAAGAGCCGCATGTGGCTCATGAGCCGTGGTTTGCCGACCGCTGGGCAAGTCCAAGAGTAATGATGTAAATGATGCAATGGAGCTTGAGACATAGATAAGCTTCGATTCATTTATCTAGAACCATCACAAAGACTTAGAAGTTCACCCTTAGGCAATTCTGTTTAGAAAACTGCCTATTCTATTTGGGGTTTCTTAATACTAATTCTTTCCTAATAACTGTGAATCATTGCTGACTAAAGATTTTGGGGAGGGAAGTAAACTGCTTTCCGATGAGTTATTACACCATACAGCTATACTAGTACATTTTGTAACCATGAATAAAATATTTATAAGAATTTTCCAGAAGACTATATTCAAGAACAGAATAGAGGTTCTCAAAAGAATTCAATGTTTCCAGGAAAACTGTTGACACTTGATTTGTTGTTTACCATTCTGTTATTTTAAGATTATCTTAAAAATTATAGGACATTTCAAAACTCCTTCAAATTCAGTGTCCCTTTTCACCATATTAGAAATGTAGTTTTCAAGATGGAATATTGAACCTGTCACCCCAATCTTAATTAGTGGAGACTCACAAGGGAAACCACGCTGAGAACATAACCCCACGTGATGAAACGAACACATTTCAAAAGAGAATCCTGGTCAACTTCACCAATGAGGTTAATGCCAGAGAATGCTGAGCTCCTCTGCTAGCTCTCAAGAAAGCGCAGGTCTACAGAACGGGAATCCGTCAAAAAGGTAAGTCCTTACTGACAATCAAACTAAGAAGGCCCTTCATGCAGGAATAAAGTGTCTCATGGAGGAGAAGCCACGTGATGACAGCACTTTGAAAGCGGAATTCCCTCATCATGTGAAAATATTTAAAGGAGGAACTCTTCACTGCTGTAAAAATCCTCAAAGGAAACCCTGCCCCCACTCCTACTAATAAGGAAAGTGCTTCAAAGGGTGATAGGCAAAGACTGAAGCAATCTGGGTCTTGTTGAGAAAACTATCTTGAGCAAAGGGGGGCGGTGTTTATGTCAGTTCTGACATTAAAGAAAGATCATCCATCCTCCTTTCTTTAGGATTTCCCTTTTGGTCTTCTCATCTAACAAAACATTATTAGTTTTGGATGCATTCCATGCACTTTTTTAAAAGAAAAGCCGATTGAAAACCTGTATAAACAGTTGGCTCACCCCACCCCCAACACATCCCTTTGTCTCTACTAGATGAGACTGGATTTGGGAATATTACAATATAAACTGTACTTTTAAAGATATAACCTATTATTATCAAGAATATCTTATATTCAACAAATAGCTTCTCTCCTCGAAGAATTCTCATCTCTGGATACAACTAAATACAAGTACTCCAATTAAAGCAGACTAGCTGGAATATGGCACTTCTGCTGAAATTTTATCCAACCAGCAGGCCAAATCAATATGCAGACATAACAATACTGTTGATATAATGTGAAACAAATCCAGACTATATGCATTTGCATCTCAAATGTATGAGCAAGTGATCGAGTTAGTTATAACACTAGATTCCAGATGCTTGCTAACATCTACATTAGAATGATTTTTTTTTAATTGCAGTAGAAAGCAGTATACCCTCTCACTCATAATGTGGCATAATTAAAGCTGTTCTGAGCCTACTTGAACCCAGAGTTGAATGACACAGCTCTCCACAAGTAGTATTCTATTGACAATTTTAAAAAATATATTCTTATTGATGTCAGAGAGGAAGTGAGAGGGAGAGAGAATCACTGATTGGCTGTCTCCTGCATGCCCCCCACTGGGGACCAAGCCCACAACCCAGGCATGTGGCCTTGACCAGAACTGAACCCAGGACCCTTCAGTCTGCAGGCTGACGCTCTATCCACTGAGCCAAACTGGTTAGGGCAGACAAGTTTTAAATGTTTCACTGCAATTGCCTCCTAAGAAAAACTTCATCAACTCTCTAGCCCAATTTTTTCCCATTTCCTTTCAAAAATCTTTGAAGTTGTTAAAACCAAAAACAGATTATAAATAAGTTGAAGCCAATTCCACCTGTACCATGTCTAGAAAATGTGGCCCTGGTTCTCCTACCATGACTTAATAAGGATTGCTATCCATACACCTTCATTTCCTCCAAATCCTCCCCAAACCCCCAAATAAAAACTAGAAAACTCAGGAAGTTGCTTACATGAACCATCAGTGGAACACAACAGAAAGGACCCAAGACCAAAGAATTCATTGAATTGAAATGTGATTACAAATATTTTGTTATTTTCAAATGCAAAATAAACTTGAGCACAGTAAACCCCACTCGGGCCGGTGTGGTGTTTTAATAAAGAGGGCATACATTTCAGTATGGTTTTGATTAGACTAGCTGGAGATGTACAGATCTATATTTTTATGTGTATATCA